ATATATACATACAGTACCTGATACATATTATAAATCCTGCATAATTTTACTAATATTAGCGTCAATAACAAAAATCCCGATGCAATGTAACGTAACACGATCCAGAAGATCCAAAAAAAAACGTCTAATTCGAAAATTAGAAATCACCTTTCGCATTTTAACAAGAAAAAACCCCTTGTACAATTTTACTACATTGAACCTTAACTTGAACTCCAATTCTAAATTAAGGGAGTTTGAGTGTACGTGAAATTTTCGTTGCGAGGTTGACCAATGAATACTCTACGGTTTGGAGTATACTGTTCCTTCCTCCTTACTTGAGCTTAAAATATTGATGCTAATCAACTGGGGATTTTTACCTTAAAAATCATGCTTAGATCATATAATTTACAATATCTGCAAGGTCGGTCATTGTCAAGGGAAGAATTCTCATTTATTTTTGAGAGATCTTATTAGTAATTCAGGAGGTCCCATTATTAAAATTATCAATAATTTAAATTTTTGCGTTATTAGTTATCTTGTTGCTATCCTGCACATAGTCATTATACATAATAACCATACAAACGCCACACAAATCCTGAAAAAGGATGTTTAAATCTAAATTAGGAATTTTAAAATGACATTGAACCGGACTTTATTAAAAGAATAAAAAATTACAGTACATAATATGATTGTTCATATATACTAAATACGTATACTGTGTTATAACGATTATTTTTGATTTGAACAAATAAATCAAATAAATCATCGATATACGCACTACGCCACAGGATTACCGTTACGTTAATTCGTACACAATTTGTGAAACGTTATACGGAAATATACGTATGCAATACCGATACGCCTTAAAAATCATTCAAGGTAACTAATTTTTTCCGGTATCACTCTAAACGAAATTTGTCCAAAAACTTTTTTTTTTTATAATGAAATTATTTCCAGAAATTCTTGATCATATATTCAATTACTTAATAGATGATAAAAAATCACTTCATTCATGCACTTTAGTGAGCATGGATTGGTGTAAATCCGCGGTACCAATACTGTGGAAACAACCTTTTATGCAAATTGATGTTACGAAACCATCGGATAAAATTATTGGTATTTATTCAAGGTTTCTTAGTGATGATGCTAGAGCCATGCTTTTGATTCAAGGATTAAAGTTACCTGATTACCTATTACCAACTTATTATGACGCTGATATTGAAATGAATGGCGTTTGTAGTAGTTCTAGTAGTAGTTTTTATTCCAACAATTCAATTAAAAATAGATTTAACAATAGTTTATTTTATTATCCATGTTTTTTACGAAAGTTTAAATATGAAACTTTTATATCATGCTTAGAGCAATGGTACTTGGAAGTTCTTGAACCACTTCAAATTATTGATGAAACCATTGTTAACTTTAAAATTACACCATCAAATACTTGGCATAATCTAGCACGACATAATTATAATGCATCATCTTTTAACATCACCATACCATCAGCGAGTAATGAAACTGGTTCATCAAAAATATCGCAATACAGAACTGAAGAAAAACAAAAAATAAAAGCAGCATGGTGTCCAACTTTAAGTATCGAATTTTTCAAGATTTTTTTAACTGCGGGAATAAAACTTGAT